TTTTTTAATTTAATATAATTTGTTTTCCTTTTAAGTGCATTTAGTTAACTCTGAAAATCATTCGCAAAATGTACAAATACTATGAGATGAGTTAATTACATGAGATGATATTTATGTCATCGTTTACAATACATTGAAAACATCTGCTTATTTCAATAAAAATAAGTTCTGTTCTCTGAAAATATAGAAGAATAAGATAGTTAGTAAGAGTGAGATTTGTTCATTCAAAAAATTTAATGAGGCTGTTAATGTTGGATTTATGTTTATGTTCCAAACTAAAAAGCAGAGAGAACTAATAGAGTCTGCAAGAGTTGTATATTTAAACGAAACCCATGGAATAAATCATCATAGTTATCATCTGTTCTTACTTGTGATAAAGCATCCAATAGTAGGTAGTGGATATTCTGTATATCCTGTCATGTTTTTAATAAGTGAATTTAAACAAACACAGACATTAAAGGAGTGGTTTGATTTTATAAAATGCAAAAACGAGAGATGAAGTCCAGATATCTTTATGGTCAATGATGCAAGTAAAGAAATAAAAGCATCACAAGAAAGCTTCCCCAATAGTTCTGTGTTTTTGTATTACTTCTATGTGTTGCAGTCTTGGTGCAGAAAACTTGGTCAGAAACATAGCACAAATAACAATTTGTTAAGAGGTATTGTTTGGAAAGATTTTTGGTGATTATTAAAAAAAGAGTGATGGACTGATACAGAAGCCCAAGCATAGCTCGTAGAAGCAATTAATCGGTAGAGAGCAATAGGTGTTGATGAGATAAATAATTTTGTCAACTATTTCGAATGTTGATAAAAGCCTAAGTATAAAATGTGAATAGTTAGTTTTAGAGGATTTGTTAAAAATATAATGGATACAAATAATTTAATTGAATCATTCTATCATAAATTAAAATATGTTTAATTAAGAAGATGTCTAGATAAGGCTAAATGTTTTAGTCAACTAATTATAATATATAACTTCTATATATTAACATGATCAAACAATTTTAAATTTTTTTTAAAAAAAAATTTTTTTTTTTTTGTGATTGTATGTAGAAAAAAATTTTGAGTATATTTTGTATATATATACAGATTACTTTAATATATCGAATGAAGATTGATACTTGATTTACATATCAAAATTTGGTAAACAATAAGTATGTATGTACATAAATTAAGTATCGATCTTCTATATACTCAAAAAAATTTTTTTCAATCACTATTAATAGTTGAAACTATTTAATTGCATAAAAATTGTGCTAGGCAAAACTATGTTTATCATATACCAGAATTAATTATTGCTGGCTGAATCAAATAGTTAAATAATTAAGAAAATTTCTGACAATTAAATTTCTTTTATTTTTTTAATTTTCTAGTTTTTTTTTTTAATTTTCTTGATTTTTTATTTATTTATTTTTTTTTTTAATCTTTTTTTTTAATTTTTAATTTTAATTTCTCTTTATATAGATAAACGGCTTAATGGCGAAGTACATCTTCTTGTAGAAGTTGTACTTCATGATATGAATTTTTCAGTTTTTCTGAATGAACTAAAAATAGGCAGGATGAATCCACGACAGCATCAGCAATGTATTCGAGAAATTGCTGATGCAAAATGTATTAATAATAATAATATTTTTAATATCCAGCCTAATATATAGATAATACATTTTTTAATGAATGAAGATATAGAATATTTAGTTAGAAAGAAAGATACTACAACGGATGATAATAACTTTGATATTTCTTCATATGCTTGCAATTGTTGTAATTTTCAATTATAACAATTATCCTGCAAACATGTGTTCATCATCCTGTTACAAAATCATCTGAACAATAAAAATCTAGAAGATAACCAACCATATTTGAAGACATGGAATTTAGTCCTTCTAATACTTATAATTCTTTAACAGATAAGAACTTTCAGCTTGAACAATTGAACAAAAAGCTTGCTGCAATTTCCATAGAATGGAAAGATAAAAAAGGTAATGATATTTATAATCTACATATGATGTTACAAAACATGGTTCAAATGGAATAAGAAAGGATTGCAAGAATCGAATCAGTTTCACAAGCCATTATTAACAATGAACAAAGAATTCATCAAATTAATCAAATAACACCAAATACAAAAATTAGATGCCAAAATAAGTATTAATTTTATTCATTTTTGTATGCACATATGTTTAAATCTACTAATTAGAACTAGTGAAATGAAATCTAATAATTTGAAGCTATTTGTTTTAAAAATTAGTAGAATTAATTCACAAACAAAAAAATATAAGGTGAATATTATAACTGTTTATGTTCATTCGAGTCAAAGACCTTCCTAACTTTAGTAGCTGCAAGTTTCGTATTATAATTGTATTGTAATAAACGTGTGCAAAATTCTTTCACACAAGGATGGTATGATTTTCACTTTACTTCCAAGTTAGTGCGCACACATTAATATAATTATAATATGAACTTATAGAACCAATGTAAACCTTTAAAGTTGACTGTGCTTCGAAATTTCGTTAGGGCAGCATCCACAATTTACATTAAACTATTATTGTATTATATTTGTATTGTATAAAAATAGGGAATGCCATATAGTATTATATTTGTATTATCTTTAAGGTCCCTATAACAATACTGGTTTAACGTAAATTGTGGATGCCGCCTAGAAAAAATTTGTATCCTCAATGAAGTATTGAATAAAAATAAAAATTTTTTAAGCAACCAGTATGCACATAACGATAAATATTTATTTTATTTATTTAAAAAAATTACCTTGTAACGTTTGAAATATCGAATAAAGAAATTTTTTTACTTGAGCAACCAGTACGCACATTTTTTATTTAGTTTAAAAAATACATTTTAATTCTGTGAAATTTTCGCTTCTCTTGGTAACTGTAAAATCGAAATTATGATAATTATAACAGAAATGTGTTAATCGAAATTTTACCTTGTGGCGGTGCTAAGAGTCGCGTGATCTATTTTATCCAATTGGAGATGGTATTTCATACATCCAATCAGAACTTGGGGGGAAATTAGGTCTCCCGATTTTCTGACGATAAAAACATCATAAACTTTAATGACATGCACTTAGGGAATAATAAGAGAAGATGCATTTACGTATAGAGGTCATGTATACGTATATTTGGGCCCAAATTTAAACGTGCATTTAGGGAGGGTGTGCACTTATAGAGGGTGCACTTATCAGTTATGGAGATTTTACTGTATTACTGTTTATTTTTCTAAATAATGAAATTAGCTATTGGGCACCCGGATTCTAGGTATTAATTTTAACTAGCCAATCATAATCTAATCAAATTATTATACGCGCATTGTAGTACAAAACGTGTCAATATAAACATTATCGTTATGTAGATTCTAAAATAATACTCTTTGATGTTGAATTGCAAACACGAATTTTACAAGTTCTTGCTTTAAATATGCCAACTTGGAGGGTAGGTAACTATTTGATTCAACTTGTTGCTGTAATGAAATTATATCTAATATATATATATCGATATATATAAGACGTATTTTACCAATGTACCGCCGACTGTGAAAACTATAACCTTTCTAATAGTTTTTATCTCGGCGCTTGGGGCTTTAAAAAAATTTCACAACTGGGCCGAAAATTCTTTTGCAGTGGATGTTTTGCCAGATTTTGCACTTGTTCCAGGTCATGCAATACAAAAGTTTTGGACATTTTTTACTGCAGGATTCTTGGAAACTGACCCTATATCAGTAAGTCATTATAAAAGTTTGATTTATATACAGATATAAATAGATCAAACTCAAAAGCGCTACGTTAATTTTAGTTAACAGGAAGTGTTATAACAATGGTAGCATGTGGAAAATATTTAGAAAGAGCTTGGGGATCAAAGGATTTTTTGAAATTTGTCGGAATAATTCATATTGGCGTTACTTTAGCAACTTTTTTAACATACTTATTGGAATATACTATTACTGGCGATGAATATTATTTGTAAGTATTACATCATATGCTAAGAATTTTTAAATGCACCTTATTTTATTTTGTTTGCTGTAGGAATATAAATTCATCCTTGATTTACGTTATAGGTTAGAAGTACAGGCGAATGGGATGGTTGGTGTTATATGTGGATTTTTAGTTGCATTAAAACAACTTGTGCCTGAACATTTGGTCCGAACTCCATTATCAATCCGTGTCAAGGTAATACATTAAGCTTAACCATGTTATCTAATGAATCAAAAATTGCTACCAATATTAATTATTTATTATTCGTGTCGAATGATTAAAAAAAAAAAAATACATGTATAAAATAAAATAAAGCATTTTCCCGCCATATTTGTCATATTTAGTTTTGCTTATTTCCTCATATTCGAAGCGCAATCGCAATTTTTATTTGTGATATATGGATGGATCATATCTTGGACATACATTAGATTTTTCAAAATGCAAGATGGATTACGTGGAGATCGTAGTGAAACTTTTTCAATCGCTAGTTTTTTTCCAGAATTCATGCAGTATGTTGATCAATGCTTTTTTTTTATTCCGACAAAAAATTAAATTTGATTTTTCTATCCGATTAATAGACCACCTATCAAAATCATCTCAAAATTAGTGTTCAATATCTTGGTTTTATTGAGATGTTGTAAACCGATAAAAAGACGACGATTTGGCTTTGATTTGGAAAATTCTTTACATGTTAATGCATCTCCTATGCCAGGAAGTGCGAGGGCTGAGGCCGAAAGACGAAGGTAAAAACCGTACAAATCAGTTGGCATTTTATGATAATATTTAACATCGTATATTAATGCCAAAACAATGGTTTTAAATATAGGGCATTAGCACTTAAAGCATTGGACAAACGTCTACATTCAACAAATAATAAACCAAGTTATGGTCCTACATTCCCATTTCCATTTATATTACCAGATTCAAAACGTTCAACAGGAGAATCTGCCGCGACTTCAACAATAAATAGTAATTCAAAAACTTCTAATGACCATTCATCCTCGCATGTGGAATCTGTAACACCTGGTGTATCTTCCGATTCGGTTTTGTTTGATGCAAAAGAACATTTGGATGAGAAAACTTTATAATCAAGAATGGAAGGATATTGTAAAGAAAATAATTGTGTATTTAATTTTTATTTCTTGATATTATATTTACCTTCATTATTTGATATTTACTGTTATTTTGATGTAATATATATTGTTATTTTTTTTTATTTTTATTTTTTATTTTATTTAGAAAAGTTTCAAATAATTATAAAATCAATTGGAATTAGTGTTGCAGAACATTAGAAATTAATCTGTAATCATGATCCAATGTGCATTCCATTTTATTAGATTGTAATTATACATTATCCTTTTCCAAACTGAATTTACATGCACAATATATCAATAACATAATAGACTATATAAATAAAAAAAGTCAAATCTTTCACCATGATCAACCATTAAAAAGAAGTCCCATTATATTATAGAGCTGCTGGTAAAGATTGTACTGGGCAGAACTTTGCTCTTCATCATTGGAGAAAATAGTGAAATCTCATTATCAAAAATAATTGTTCGATGAAATGTATACCGCGAATTATAAAGTCAACAAGGCTCGTTGAATAACGTTAACATTAATGATGGTAATGATTTAAATCGATGTTTTAAGTTGATATTGCATTAGTCGGCCAAATTAGGAATGGACAAGCCCCATCTTGAACAAGAACCAGTCTTTTGTGATATTTAAAACTTAGTATTTTGAATTTTATAATAAATGAATATATATAGATTTTGATAGGGTTTATCGTTATATTTTCAAATCAAGGTATCAAATTTTGCATTAGCTACAATATTTATTATTAAACTTATATACTTTTTTGTAGTATGCCAAAACGTAAATAATCTAATGTAACAGATAGTTGTATTTCAAACATAATTTTGCATATAGCATTATAAACTTTTTTAAAATATAAATTAAATACTATAGATATAATTCTTAAAAAAGGTACAGATTTTTATATAAATTAAGTATAGAAGTTTGAATATGTTAGGATGTTTGGACATACATTGGACATCAAAAATATATGAATCTCGAATAAAACAGCATAAAATACGGGAGTAGACAGTTGGAGTCTCTGGATTATAGTTTATTATTAGAGACTTGATTTTTTGTGACAATAACCGACTAAGCAGGCTTAGCCACATCAAAATCATCACCTGAACTAAGCTCATAATTTTTTAATTGACTACAATCACTGGATGGGGCAATTTTATTCAACACATATGAAGCACGTTTTTTAATATCGTCATCTTTTACAGTATCCAATATACGATTGATTAATGGGATACAAGGTGTGAGCTTAGATAGTGAAACTGATGGGACTTAAATATAAAAAATTCTCAATTATTGTGTAAATAAATGAACTTTTAATTACAAAAAAAGAAATTAGGTATAAAGTACGTGAATACCTTCTGTAGAAAGGTTATCAAGCGCCCGTATGATATGGCGTTGAATTTCGACATCAGACACCGGAGAATCACCGACAGCTATAAGTGCTGGAATAACACTTTCCCAAGATTCTTCACTTTGGATCATATCGTGTTCTTCAATCGCTATGAGCTGATATGACAACATGCGTGCCTTATTATCCTCTAAAGTAAAATTTTGACAATTATTTTACGTTTCAATTGATAATCTTATGATATGATAAACACATTTACCGTATAACGCGAAATTGGCCAATAACCGTGCTACATGCCTATAATTGAAGACTGTTATAATTTGTGATAAAATCCCGAGAAATAAAATTTCAAACTTACAGACCTTTGGATTTCTCTGTCTGTGAGAAAGTAGCCAACCATTCGACACAAATTGGTTAACAATAAAGGTTGATGAATCAAAAGTTGCTGCGATTCAGCTGTTGAGATGTAAAAAAGTTATGCTTTAAAAATATATATGTATATCATATAATATAAAGTGCAACATGATTGTTACCATTTGTTGCCAGATTAGCCTAAATCATCAGAATAATTAACACACTAGGGCATTAGTAACAGATCTACAAATTAGAGATCGGACTCGGGTAGCAATCGCTACCTGATATATATAATAATTTACCCGGGTAGCCTAATAATACCCAGATAGAGATTCGTTCAACGGGTCCAATCCCTATTACAAACGAATCTCTTGCAGTATAAGTGGTATCATCAATAAAATGTATTACTATGTAATCAATTGATTATAAAGTTATATTACTTATACTGCAAAAGTTTCCTATAAATAATAAATAACATACCATCGCACAACAAGTGTGTGATATTGCCACTTGATTATCTTTTAGCGATTGCTCATCTTCAAGACTAATCACAGATGTCAACAATTCAGCACGACCGTCTTTAATTAAGATAGATTTATATTTATCTACAAAAAACAAATAAATAAATCATGATTGTTCAAATACAGAAAGAAAAACGTAACAACTAAACATACCGTTTCTAAGCGATAAATATGCAATTGACTTTGCGGCATATTTTCGTACTTCATAAATGTTTGAATGCAATAAGCGCATTAAACGATCCAATCCATTTAAGGGATATTCAATAATAAGTAGCTGATGAGATGCTAAAAAATAAATATCATTAGATTTATAAATAAATGAAAACAAATAATAAGGATTAAAAATTATTAATAGAAATCGGGCAAATTATATTTACGATATGTAGAAAGGCATGAGATTGTTTTAGCTGCAAGACTACGAGCCAATTCAACACGAAGACGTATTTCTTCATAAGAAGGAAGCGAATCATCTTCAGGTGAATCATCATACAATGTTCCTAGTTGGAAATCTGCTAATTTTAGAATAGCATCCAAAGCTATATCGTCAATTAGCATCTGTTGACATAAAGAACCTAAGTATATAATGAGATATAATCAGAATTCGACAGTTAATAAGTTTACATTGTAGCCTTCAAGAGACTAACCTGAGATTGACAAGTAATATAATACATTCGCAATATTTAAAATAATACTCGAAACGGAATCCAAAAATTTTAAAGTATCTGATAAATCTAACGTTTCTAATTCTGATTTATTATAGTACAATAGGATAAGATGATATAAATGTGGAAGACCTCCTTTCATAATAATATGAGATTTAAATGATTCTAAAAAACAAACGTAACCAGTTATAATGCAATCATAAAGATGATGGCGGGAAATGATATAATATAGTAAACCGACCATTTCCAGAAAGACTAGCCAATGCTGTGGTTCCTAATAAATGGAGGTCACATGATTGAGTGGCTCGACACAGATATACTAACGCGTCTAATCCCCCATTAGTGATGAGATGAAAAATTTCTTGTTCTGTTTAAAAAGTATATAAACTCATTCGTTGTTTTACACTACCAAACGAAAATAGTTTTACGCGTAATTATTTACCATTTCCACGTTCAACAATGTCAAGTAACCCTCGAGCACCGTGTGTCTATTTCATAGTTATGATGAATTAAAAAACATCATAAAACTTTATTATTACAACGTATTAATGTAATCACTTAATAAACTATGAAAATTACCTGAGTCGACTTGTCATTTGAAATAACATATCCGACAAGATATGCGATTTCAAAACATCCACTGCAAACACGTTCTGGTTTTAAATAACCTAATTGAGGTAATGCAATGTTTTTTGAAGTGCATTCTTGACAGAATATGTTCCCACTAAAAGACAATTGAATATATTAGATCGATAATAATTGTGAATTAACACCTACTTGAATGTTTTTGTGATAACTTACCATTGACGACAATGATGCTAATTGATCAAAAATAAGTGACAATAGGTGCTTTAATGAGGTTAATTAAATCATTAATAGCTCAAGGGACAAAACAAACAACTAGTTGCCGTTATTAGCAAGACTACATGTTATGTCACTTTATAGTGAAGATTCCTCTTGCTTATAAACATAATAAAATTGTCAATAGATTAATGAAGAAAATAGTCTGATAATTACTTTTCGTCTTAAAGGAGTAAAGGACGTTTCGCAACCTTTGCAAGCTTTGACGGTCTCATCGTCGACCCATACAGGTCGTACTAGAAGGAAGCCGTCCAAACCGTCACTTTCGTGAGCTTTCTGAGTGAATTGTTTAGCAGACATCGAAATAATAATGATAAAACAATGAAAAAGATGTATATAATAAATTAATTACAGTATAATAATCTATCGTACATGTTCACGTGATAATTGACCAATAAAATCGACATATCACATTTAACACACATATATGCTATGAATTTATTAGCAACATATATATATTCTGGTCATTTTAAATATTGTTACTTTTTGATATGTATACGTGTTTGCACTATCGCTACGTATTAATTCTTTTAGATCCTTTATTATCGTTATCACTATCATTACCATAATTCATTCCCGGAAAAAAATTTCTGGACCCATATCCAGTGACTATCATGAAGATCATTCAGTAACGTGGTATATGTATTACGTATATAAAACGTCACTCAAAAAGGTAATTGCTAATAAATTTGACATGAGTAAATATTTTATTCAAATAAAGAATAGTGTAACTATTAATAGCCCAAAAATGTTATCGAAAGCTTTTATATGAATTTGCACTAAAAAAAGAAAAAAAAAAATTTAAATTATTCCTCAAACGACAATACAATTGCTTTGCTCTTCGCCATTTGGGTTGAGATTCTTTTCAATTTCACTTATCATGAGTTCAAAAATACGAGCTAGAGAATATTAATTGCAAATATTATAATTGGAACGTAATTTCAGAATTAAATAACTAAAGCTACAAACATACTTATATTTTCATTATGTTTTGCAGAAGCTTCAGTCCATGCACAATGCCATAGTGAAGCCAAATCTCTACCTTCTTCGGGAGCCACTTGCCTTGACAATAAATATAATGAACAGCAGCGAATTGAATGAGAATTAAAAAAAAAAAATTTTTTTGAGGTTGATTTATCTATAATTACCTTTGCAAATGTAAATCTGTTTTATTGCCAACAAGAACAATAGGAACAGACTCTCTTCCTGTAAAATTCAAAATCTTATCCCTGATAATCTTCACCATCTCGAAGCTTTGCCTAGAAGTAATCGAGTATACTAAAATATAGCCATGTATTCCGACGCCATGCGTAGAATTCAAAATTGAATGTTCATCCTAATCGAAGAAAGATTTGGATTTAATTCAACCTGTCAATGAAATGAGCCAAGTAAAAAATTAAGAAAAGTATACTTGTAATTACCTGACCTGCAGTGTCAATGATTTCTGCAGCGATCTCTTGTCCTCTATATCTTATAACTTTGTTAAAAGTGTTCTCGATGGTAGGATAATAAGAATCAACAAAATGGTTTTCCACAAATTGAATTGTCAACGAGGATTTACCTTTGGAAAGAAGCCAGTTGAGTAACACCAAGACAACCTATAATTATGAAATGCAAAGAAGAAATGTTCACTTGCCTACAGCACGAGAACCTAAAACAGCGATGGTTCTTGCTTTAGGTGAGTTGCCGGCCATCATACACTATACAGGGCAACGTCGTTTTTTAAATATGTATTTTTTATAAATATTTATGTTGGGCATTTCAATAGGTAACAGTAATATCAATCTTCACGTGTTTCAGTTACACAAAATCTAGATAATGTTGGTAACTTGGTATTGACGGATTGGTCAGCAACGATAGTCATCATACACTTAAATGAACCATTTTCAACTTATAAATTATATGCTCTTTAAGAAACCGTAAATATTTTGAGGAATTGTAGCTATAGAAGGTCGAGTGTATACAAAACGTATGTCATTATTACATCTTTTATCATACGGGGCAACACTGCTCGCGTTCTTGTTTGTAGTACTAAGCTTAGGTATAAAACACATTTATTATTGAATTTTCTAACTTCTGACGAATGTTCTTGCCTAAATGTATTTTAAATTATAAATTGTATATAGCATGTGGGCTCTATTATTTAGGTATGATATATTAATCACTAGCTTTGAACGCGTTTTGATTTGAGTTTGTCGAAAATTATATTATGGATAACTATTCCTTCCTTTCAGCCGAATTCGTCGAGGAATATACTGTACTAACGAGAAAGATTATTAAACATACCACTGGAGTATGTATGCGCGAGCAATTATTACCGTTATTTTATTAGCTATTCAAAAATACTGACTATTTCATATTGGGAACTTTACCAGGTCGTTGTAGCGATTCATATTCTTCTGTGGATGTTTGACGATTTTCCATTTTGGAGAATTGGCTTCTCGGTAATGTGCCATGGCGTATACACACTAAATCTAAAAACTTTTCCATTCATAAGTTTGACAAGTATACAATTCATTGCAAGCTGTGGTTTGTAGCAAAATTTTTAAAGCTATAAATTCTTTCTTTTTACTTGGATAATTTAATTCAATAATTTTTATTATTAATTCTGCTGTTATTTCATTTAGTGCTTGTGTTAATTGATCATTTTCTTTGGTTCCAATTCTTCACTTCACGTTATTTTATTTTCATGGATATCGCCGCGTTCTTTGGCATATGTGTTTGGATGGTCCCTTTCGCTTACTTTATTTCGCTAAGTGCTAATGACAATGCTTTACCATCTTTTGGTTCGTTTATAATTTTTATTAATCGTATGTTAATTTCATGATAAATCCGAGAGTCCTTACGTGCTTTTTAATTTCTAATTTCAGACCCAAATATACATAATACCGACTTTGCCCTTATACGAAATAAGGGGGGAATCCTAAAAAATTTGTTAAATTTCGTTCTACAAAAGAAGGATGAATTGATTCCAATGGTATCTGATGTTTCATCTTCCGCCCTACATTCGCGAAAGAGCCTATAATCACTTCGTATTGATATTTGACCAATTTCACCGAATTATACAAGCAGTTATCATGTGACTATATTTGAATGCATCGTACTACAATAGCAAAATTAGTATTTTGTTTTTTTTTTGGCCAAGAAGAAATATTGCAACAGCTTGTAAGGATTGTTTATGTAATATAATAATAATATAATAATAATAATTAAAGGGTATAGAATAATTTCTTTTTTATAATCATACTACAACATCGAGTTATCTCACGATAATATACATTGGCACACAGGCATACGTTTCTGAGAAGTTAGAAACGTTTAAACTCGTCAACCGGTGTTTGTGAAGACAAAGTTTTATTGCTGTCATCAGGTATCAAAGGATTTGTATTCGGATATTTTTGTTCCAGAATTTTTGCTAGGTGGTCACCAGCTAAAGCGAACGCTATTCCACCTTATGATAAGGTAGAATCGTAAGTGAAAGAGTCAACATAATTTACTTAATTTACTTAATTTAGTTAAATGAAATTATATGCACAAACCTAATCCAAGATAAATGCGTGTACGCCTTGGTAATGATTTGAAAGATTGCCAGAATGATTTGACATTTTGTTGTGGTTGGGACATCGGGAATTTTTTTAAAAAATGGTTGCATGTAAATTTTTCATATATACTAAATTTGGGACTGTGCGATTGGCTCCAGATCCTGAGAATTGTTGTTACACGAACCCTTTATATTCTGAGTTCCAGTCTATAGTCTGAAAAGACATTGATTATTTTACATAAAAATATTCGATGTGAATTTCTTTCGTACAATAATGAATTGGTTTTTGCTAAAAATTAACTATATATTTACTAATTGATAATTCATAAAATCCAAATTAAATTATCTTTAATATTTCCTAAACTTTAAAAAATTGTCATAAGAGCGAAGCAAACATACAACATTCCCACAGGATAAGCTACTAAAATGCGTTGCTCCGACATTTGTAATACTGTTACAAACATTGTGGATGAAGAATATGTACACCAACTAACTGCAAGAGCGGATGCAATAAGACCAATTGGTCCACTTATAATAAGAAAATATGACAAAAAAAGTATGTTAATTTATGGAGAAAATACATTTATAATGGTATAATGTTTAAATTCCACAATACCTTAAAGGTACTACAACGCCAACACAACTTAATAGTACCAATGGCAATAAACAATATCCTAATACACTAGCCGTTCGGTACCCATCTATTCCTGACTCACTCATAAGATTCAGTATCATGTAAATGGAAACACATCCGAGTAAAGCGACCCCATAAATATATCCAAAATGAACTTTTCCAGTCTATTCGTCGACCCATAACCGCCACAGACAAAAAAAAGTTACATGCAGTAATCAGCGACAGATAATAATATTAAAATTAAATTTTATTTCACAAATAATAAGATAAAATACCAGTAATAGACAAACGCCAAATATTAAGCAAAACAAAAGTGGTCCAGCCAAATCAGTATCGGTCATTATGTCCTTGTCAACCGTTCTAAGTGGATTTAGGACTGCCAAACTCTAAATGATATAAAGGACAACTTTTAGTTTTTGAAAAAAGAATCGTTAGAAAAATATGGTTGAACCCACCTTTGATTTTATATGTTCGAAATTAATACCAAGCTCTATTTGTAAACAACAAATGTATCATTTAATTTTACCACATAACTCCACACTATGTACAGTAAAAATTCAATCAGAATTCTACCGTCTAATAAAGGTGGTTCGCCGGGAAATCCTCCAGTTCCAAACGCACTCCAGAAACCACCCGTATTACCGCCGTTGTTGTAAACAGGATAAGGTTGCTGGCTATAGTAGTCAGAAGATTGCTGCATATAAGCATTATTAGGGTAACCATAAGTTGTAGTATACATGGGTGTTGAAATATTTTGCTCTTGGTGTAAATTTAAATGACGAAAATGCCGAAAATATTTTCTTTTTAAAAATTTTCCGGATCGTGATTTTTAGCCAATTAGATCGAAGGAACAGGTGTAACGTAAAATAAAAACAATCGAATTAAGCGAAAGTAATAAGCAACATCTTTAGGGTTAGAATTAAGGGTATAGCTTGTACTAGGAATTTTTTTATTAGAACGCAGAAGACAGTTTCATAGGTAAAATTTCGAATTAATAGCGATTTTTTGGATTCCCTAGCCATGACGAAAACGAGATGTCGGGTCATGTGATTTCCGAAGCATCCGGTCTGATATCTAAACAACATATATATTTAGAACAGGGGGAAACGTCAAAGTTACACAAACCAACATGTGATCGACAGTCCGCATATTTAATGTCGATCAAATAATTTATAAGTAATATAGTAAATATGGTAATAAAATACGATCATAATTAAATAATATATGACTAATAAAATATAATTTATAATTCGCTATAACTTATAATTCGCAATTCAAAAATTATGAATATTTATTTATTTATTACAAATTCACACAAATGTTAATTTTACATAATTTAATAACATTTTTATATCAATCGCATTACCTATTATTTCATCTGCATTATCCGAATCGTCTTCATCTTTATTCTTATTTCTATCATCTAATATTTAACTTCAACTAAATTACTAATCATACTTACTATTAGTATGTTGACATTTTTCTTGAAGATAATCTAAACAAATAAAATATTTAAAGTAAAATTTTTGTAAACAATAATTGTGATAGTCATGCTCACATATCAAAACATTGCTATTGGACAAATCATAGGTCTTATCTTAATACAATGAGTCACATAAAAAAGACACATTAGATTTTTTAAAAATAACAAAACCTCTTAGAAGATGATAATCTGTTATTTCATATTCTAATGAAGATAACTTATATGTATTGATGTTATCATTATTTATGGATTTAACAATAGAATATTTATTACAATTCTAATATACTTTCATAAATAATTCCAAAAATAAAATAAAACATTTTTGAGAAAATATATTTAATTGTTTTGGTATATATGGGTACTTTATAGACTGTATGAAGTTTTATTAAAAAGTATTATTATATTATTGTTAGAAAATAAAATGTATCTTTTTTTGTAATTGTTTAGTTGTATAAGACTTAATAATATGTCTTCAAATAATATTATAGGTGATTTCAATAGGACTATTACTAAAAGAAACAAGATGGTTAGTAATTAAATTCATTATTAGATGGTCAGTTTTCATCCAATAAAAACATTTTAAAAAAACATTAAGAGACATACTTATAATTTCTTCAATTGAATTATAAAAAAAGATTACTCTAATAACACATGCATGCTTTCTTATACAATGGCCAATCTCTACTCTGATGATATATAGTATAAACATCATAAACTAAAAGAACTAAATTACTAAATAAATTAATAAGATATAAAAACTCAATATTTTTATATATAAATCTAAATTTCAAATAAATCATATCTACAATATTGGACTATGCCAAATATACGATATATAGAATTAAATTAATTCTTCATAATCATGGCTTCTGGTCAAGTTTCTTCTTTATTTCAAATATTTTCTTGTAGATGTTACTAAATAATAAAAAATTTTTTTTGTAAACAAGTTCATAAGAATTCAAAAATATATAAAAAGATCTTAAAATAGGCAAAAATAATATAACAAATTAAAAGATATTTTTATTGTTAAAAAGAAATCATTGTGCAGTAGCTTTATAAATAAAAAATTACTCAAGCCAATTCATCACAGTAAAAACAACATAATTAAAAAGATATAGTTGCATTGGCTCTTAGTTGTATACAATTTGAAAGGCATCAATATATATCTTAATATTTTTCAATTCTTTTTTAATGAAATTAACAAGAATTAAGTTGCATATATATCAATTATTCTTTTTCTCTATAAGTCTATTATCATAGCTATGTACTGTTAGTCTATTTAATACTTCTTCATTAGTATATACTTGTTCTTTGTTTCATATTCAATTATAATATAAAATACTAAGATTTATAATAAATTATTCATCAAAATGTTTTATAATCAAATGGCTATTTATGAAACTTGAATTAATAATTTTATTACATAATATTGTAGGTCTTAAACATGAGTTCATTAAAATTATTGTCATATGTGTTGCTCTAGAAGTAATGATAGTGTTAGGCTGCTATGAGACATAAATATTATAGTAGTCATTAAAATTTAACACAAGTACATTTCCCAATTACTGAAAAATGCATTCTCTGCATATTTTTTATGCACTTTTTTTATTTTAATTTACTGTCTGCAATGTTGTTATAATGCCAAGTCTGTTATTGTATTTAAACCTTTCTTATTTGTTTCTGCCAAACTAAATAAAATACAAAATTGAACTTAAAGAAGTTAATTTTTGTATTATTTAAAAAGGCAAAAAGATAACATATTAAAATTATCAATTTCTTCATATGGCTTATTGTTTGTTCATTACATTCAAGTGACCAAGCTGCAAAATAAAACTGTTTAAAAAAATTTTCAAGAGTCAAATCAGTTTCTTAAAATAATTCTTACATTTTATTAAAAACATATAGAGAAGCTTCTATTATTACATGTTCTCTCTCATAAAGAATTTTGGCTATAGACTTAATAGCCTTAATAAGATTGATTTTAGTATCTCCTTCTGCTAACATACTTATCTCTCTGCTTCTTTCTTCACAAGTTGTTTTACAATTCTTAATTTATTAAAATCTCTACTTAATGAGTTTTGTATCAGCTCTATATAATAAGAATTACATAATATAATATTTTCTTTCTATATTTTCTTTACTAAACCATTATTTTTAGCTTCTTTTCACTTTTTATTCTTTAGCACACAGGATCTAAAGAATTGGTGGCTTTAGTAGCTTGGTAGTTAATGTATTCTTTATTTTATATATATTTTTTATAGACAAAACTATATATAAAAGTTGTTGAATTCAGGTGAATTCAACTAATATTATTAAAGTACTGCATGAAGCCTTCAAGTTTACTTAGAGTACTACTTCTGTTTCAAAATAGAATAAATAATATGAGCTTTTTGAAAAAGTACTTTAAAATAATATTAAAAAAAATTTATAAATTGTGTAATAGATTTACAAATAATATAATGTTTCTTTTTGTTTATATTTAGGATTAGAAAATGTAGCTTATAGTAAACTTTTGCAAGAAAAAAATTTAATTAGAATGCAAGTGATTTAATAAACAAAATTTCAAGCTATTTAATATTTTCATAAAATTTTATATTACACTATTTCATATTTTAATTGGTAAGTGATTTTTTAAAAAGATGTGATTTTTACATTACATCTGCTTTTTCAATCTAATTAGCTAGAATTATATGTTGAAAATTTTTTTTTTTTTTTAAGCTAACTGCTTAAAAATGCAGATGATGTCTTTTATTATTAATTATTGCTAATATACAAGAATATTTACAATTTTTTTAAGTATTTAAAAAGCTTAATTTTCTTTGGATTATTACTAATATTTTTAAACAATACTCTAATTTCATTAGCTAGATGCTTAGCTACTACAGAAGAAATTATTGTAAATGTGTATATGTTGTTTTCCCAGCTTGCTAATGTGTAACAACACCAAATTTTATATACCATGTTAATATGCAGCTAAAAAATTACTTGTAGATAGTATTAACCTTTAAAGTTGCTAGTATTAAATATTTCTTTGATTAAAGAGAAGAGTGTTTTTTGTATGCCAATTTGTAAAAAGATATATGCTTTATTCTAGATCTCTTTATTAGCTTTACAATGAATAGTAAAGTAATCTATTGTTTGTTGCTTATCTGAACACCAAGAACAACTTCTGTCTATTAAAGAGTCTGTATATTTTAGATGATATTCTAGAGGTAATGCTTTGTGAAATGTTCTCCAAAATGTATTCATTTTTTTGTTATTTATTGGTATAACAGAGAGCTAGTTGTTGTTTGTTAAAAGTGTTTAAGACTAAATAGTATTGTTAGATAAGCGTGAAGTTTTCCAAAAGTTTAAAATTTTCTTAACTAAGAATTTATTTGCTTTGAAGTCTTCTAGGCATAGATCTTTTTTGCTCCATGGCCAATTGCAGCTAGTGTTTATTTTGCTCTGAGCTTTTTTTCAAGCAAGTAGATAAGGTTTCTATTCTTTGAACCAAGCTTTAGTTCTAATCATCTCAATATTTAAGGCAGTATGTATTAATATGTTTCTTTTAAGCTCTAATATGTCACTTATTTTCTTTCTTTTCAGTCTAGTCCAGAAATAGTTTTCTGAGATCAGCTTTAGCTGTATAAAAAGAAGTCATGTCTTGAGCATTTTAGATCTGTTTTTAATCTATAGAGATATTATGCTATTGATTTCTGCAGTATGCTTTTTGCTTGGAAGGAGTAGATATGCTATATATCAGATTTGAGACAAAATTAAGAAGTTTGCTAAAAGGATTTTGTCTTTAAATGAAAAATTTCTGCTTGTCAGCTTTTAAAAAAACTTTTGAGTTTATTAATTGTAGATAATCAAAAGTTCTTTTTTAGAAGACTATTAGGATAGACTTTATAGCTCAAAATAGTAATAGCTTCTTGTTCTGATATTGTTTTAAGGTTTTCTTTATTCACTAGTTCAAGACTTCAGGCTGCATTTGTAAGTGAAATTAGTTTAGATTTGTCTTAGTTAATTTTTGTATTTGAGGCTCTTTTGTATAGAGTGAAATTTCTTTTGATAGTGTTCTAATCTGTTTTGGAACCAATTTCCAGTATGAAATTATCTGCATAAGCTAAAGCTTTGAAGGCTATATCTCCTAACTGGATTTCTGTAAGTTCTTTGTTTAGTTTTTGTAACAGTAAATCAAAGGCCAAAATGTATAAAAGAGGTGAGAGAGGATTACCTTGTCACACTTCTCTTTCAATTCTGAAAAGGACAGA